ATGGAAGATGAGGTGTGTGTGGTTTGTAGGGTGCAACCAGAGTCAACGGAGCACGTATTTAGAGATTGTAGCCTAGCAAGAGCGGTTTGGTTTCGGAGTTTGGGGCTAAGGTTGGATAGCGGCTGTGAGCGTATGTTTTTTGTGCAGTGGATGGTCACATGTGCGCAGCACCTCCCCATGGTTGGTTTCGAGCTTTGGTTTATTTTAGTATAGGCCTTATGGAAGGATAGGAATAAGGTATTGTGGAATGGCGATCGGCTGTCACCACAGGAGATAGTTTTAAGGATTGAGGGTTGGATGCATGAGTATCATAAATGGCATAAACCCCAGAATATGAGGGTGGCTCGAGAGTTTCAAAAATGGAGAAAACTTGGGGTGGGATGGATCAAATGTAATTTTGATAGGGCTTGGAATAAAAGTGAATCTCAGGGGGGGATATGGTGTTGTGCTTAGAGATCATACATGCAGTTTAGGGGCGGTGGCTAGCCCTGTTACAGGCGCGACGTCGACTCAATACACGGAGCTGTTCGCAGCTCATCAGGCAGTGGGGCTGGTCAAGAGACTCTATCCACCGGACGTCCAGGTAAAGTTGGAAGGAGATTCATCTCTGGTAGTGGCTGCTATGGCAAGAATTGGTGTTGATGCTTCCGTTTGTGGACCTGTTATTAATGATTTGAGAAGTTTTCTTACGGAGTTACCTTTTGTGGAGTGTGGACATGTTCAGAGGGAAGGTAACTCAGTTGCGCATCGACTTGCTCGAATGGGACTGTGAAATCCCGTTCCTGGATTTCACTGTTATAATTCACGTATTTATATTATTGAGGTGTTATATTATTTTTTGAGAATTTATGGTAATTTGTTTGAATTTAAATTTTTTATTAAACTAGTTACAAAAAGTGAGGTTTGGAAATTATTTATTTAAACTCGTAGGCATTTCAAGGTCACCATTTATAACTTTGGATAGAGCTCGATCTCCCGAACGCGTAGGTGCAAACCGTTCATGAAACGAAGTTATAACGAAGAAATTAGAGACGTTTGGTTTTAAAAAAGAAAAAAAAAAGGGATTGGATGCTGCTAGGTGGGAGTGGGAGAGAGAAGAAGATGAGGTTGTGGGAGACAAAAGGAGGGGAGGAGTGACCATTGGGAGGAGGGAGAAAGGAGGGGAAACGAGAGATCCGAAATGGGTCATTTTTGACTCGCGAACCACCGTTTTTGACCCGGCCATATCTCCTTCATCCGACTTCCGATTTGGGTGATCTTGGTGTCCATGGAAAGCTCTTGACGAGTCCTACATCTATGTAGTGTTAGATTTCCATTTTTCTTTTCCATTTTTCTAGGTCGAAGCCACAAAGTGCCGAGGGTTTTCCAACGAGTTTTCTCATTTTACGGTGATTCTGACAATGATTACCGTTGATCACCACTACCAATAGACTCCCCTCAACCCCTGGAGTAAGGTCCAAGCATTGGATGATGCGTCGGAGTTCGTTTTGGCGATGAATCAAGGGAACACCCATTTCTAGGGTTTCCGGCGGGTTTGGATGAAATTGGGACACTTTCCGGCCAAATTGGCCTTTGTCATAGGTATGAAAGTTTCTCCCCTCACTGAGATATGCTTGCCTGTAAAATTTGTTAATTTTTTAAAATAGTTGAATTTTCCGGCGAGTCGGGGCGGCCGACCGCCACCCACAGCGGTGCGTGGCCAGTGGGCTGATGATGTCTCCCTAAGTTCAATTAGATTCTCTGATTCCATAATTGATGTCCGTATGACGTAATTTGATTGTTTGAAGTTACTTTCATTACGATACATTACTTGATCAAAATATGAATCGACAATCTGACCGTTGGATCGTCACTAAACCTTAATGAATTGTAGAACATAATATTTGAGGATAACTGGAACTGACGGATTGGGAATCCGACGTACGGATCTTCCTGAATTAGATTTCTAAGTTAGTAAAATTAATTGCTAACCGTCATCTAATTCTATCAACTGGCGGAGATCCGGCTGTCGGATCGCAATGAAGTTTTACTATGTGGTTCTAGAAGTGTAATGGGGACTTTGGGAGGTGACGGATTAAAAATCTGATAGGCGGATCTTCGGGGTTATATTGCTAGGTGTGGACCTCACCGTTGACTGAGAGTTGGCTTTTGGTCAACATGTCTCGAACCATTTGAATTACAAAAATTAGTATTACTAAAGACTAAGTGAGGCTTTGCGAACTTATCCCGGTGAGTGACTTTAATATATGTGATATGGTGATTACCCGATTCTTTATATTAATACCCATTGTGGATATGACTTGGTTTTATAAATGTGTTTTCTGTTAAAATGTGACTTGGTTTTATAAATGTGTTTTTGTTAAAATGTGACTTGGTTTTATAAATGTGTTTCTGTTAAAATGTGTTTCTTTTATAATTGGCCATATATCTATTTTTATTACATGTGAATTGATTCATGGATTGGTAATATTTGTGGAAAAAATGATTTAAATTGCATATTGAGATGTTTGTTAAATTGAGGGCTAGTAGGAGACCATGACCTTGCTTGGTTAATCCACAATAGGGGGTCACTAGTGGCCCTGCTTGGTTAATCCATGATAGGAGACCATGTTATTTATGGATTGTGCTTGGTTAATCTGCGATAGGCGAACCTTATGGCCATACATACTTAGGAGTGATCATGCTTGGTTAATCTGCGATAGGTGATCACTGCCTAACAGTTCCGTAAGTGTGACTCTGCTTGGTTAATCCGTGATAGGGGGTCACTGCCTACTTGGTTACTACAAGGGTGGTTCTGCTTGGTTAATCCGTGATAGGGGGCCACTTCCTGTTTGGTTACATATGTAGGCTTCAGCCGAACTGTGTCCCTCTAGCCCTAGTTTTTAATGAACATATGAACGATGGTTTTTGAGAATCTTAGTGGTTTGAATGGGAAAAGCTGTTGGATGTTTCAGCGACTTGATTATGATTTCACAAAACATGATTCTATACTCGATGTTTATAGATTGTGATCGATGATCTGTTTTTATTGAATATCACATACTTGTATTATTATCACTCACCCGAGCCTCGTAGCTTATCTAAGTGCCTGATTTGCCCAGTGTACCATTCCCATAATGTAGGCATTGATTTTACATGTGACAGGTCTGGATAGATTACGAGAAATCACTTGATATTTTGGTTTTGTTTAGTGGTCCGGAATCCTTACTCTTACTCATTTCCATAAGGTTATCTTAGAATCCTAGATTCGAGTGAATGGGAATTATATAGAGTTCCTTGGTTAAATTTGTGAAATGATATGTTATCGCATTGTTTGATTGACGTAATTAAATGCTAAGATCGTGCATCTTTGATTCATGAATTGATTAATTGATGGGATTGTGGAATGACGCTAGATATGAGTGTTGTTATTATGATTATTTTAGTTGATCAATGTTTCTAGAGAATAATATTATGCATTGTTAATTCTTTAATATGTTACACGCTATGAATTGTGATTTTATGTGGGAAACATGATGATTTATGTGATGGGTGAAGTGGAAATGTTAATCGTCATGTGGGATTGTTATATTGGATATCATTGTTATTGTTATGATTAGACTTGTTGATAAATATGGCTAGAGAATATGATTGTACTTAGTTGTTTGTTCTTTGAAATATTGCATGATATGCATTGTGGTATATTGTTGGGACATAACAATTTATGTGATATTCGAGTGTAGTGAAACAATGAACTACGAATGACTTGATCCCTATTTAAGGTACATAGGCAGTCTAACGAGGATGTTAGATGCAGCCATAAAGTCTACGAAGAATTATTGCGCAGTTGGTTCTTAAGATGTGTTTTGCCATTTCCCGGAGGCGGGGTATGTTAGAGATACAGGTATTTGGTGACGTCACGTGTCGATCCTGGACATATGTTGGGATCGGGACGTGACAGGGACTCAATTGCTTTCAGGAGGTGTTGTGGTTTGAGGAGCCCCCATATTTGATTCAAGACCTCTTATTTGAGGAAGGCATGTAATCTTATTTTTATTGTTCATTTGAGGATAGTCCTTTTATTGTGCAGGACACTTTTTTCCTTAGACTGGGTTGAAAGCCCCGACAAGGTTTTTATCGAGACCCATTGAGCATATTATCCTTAATTTATACGAAATCTGTTATGTTTTAATGAATATCGTACTTGTTTCCAAAAAAAAAAAAAAAAACTATCTCAAAAGTTTTTTTTAGCAATTCATCATTGCAATTTGCAAAGTCAAGACTTTGAAGGCACGCATTATTATAACAATCTCCCAAATCCAAAACTTTTATTCAACTTTGCCGGTTTGTTACATGTGTGTTGAAACTCGGTCAAACTTGGCAGCTACTTTCTCAAACAATACAACTCTCCACACCATATATGATGAATCAAATCTGAATTTCAAAAGTTTTAAAAATAATTTCATAATTAATTACCACCATGATTTAATGATAGTTGTTGGCAATCTATTAATAATATAAAACATCACTTTGATTTTTCTTGAAATTTGATATCAATAAAATATGTACACACACACATCCTTGATGATGTCATACATGAATTGGTTGTATGTTAATGTTATACATTAAATAACTGAAAATAACCCTGCAACAAAGTTTGAAATCAGCATCTTGAACTGTTCCAAAACTAGGATAATTAACATAAAATATTAAAATGCATATGCCGGTTATAGTTCAGTTGATCACGATAACATGCTCGTCCGACTCGAGTTTGAGTATCTTTCACTATAAATTAAATCAGACTAAAATAACGTCTTATAACCTGCGTGGTTTTAAAAAGTTAACTAGGATAGTATATCTTAATATTACACTTAAAAGTTTGAATTTTTCTTCTATAAATTTGAACAGTTTAAAATATCAAAATATTTGAACATAAAAAAAATAAATATTTTACTAATTCTCACGTTCACACAAACACATGACACACCAACAAAGAAAAGCAAACCCAATAAAAGAAAAGTCATTGCCTCCCCTTCCCTCCCCATTGTCTTATTGTCATCCTTGCATTGAAACCTTCGACCTCTGTCTGCTTTGTCTCCTCTTCTTCTTCTTCTTCCCATGGAGGATTTCAGATCCAAGTCATGCAGAGATGGGAGAGATGGGAGGATGCAGATGGAAGTTTACTATGGAGGCAAACCAGGTGCTCCTCCAACAAGCATGCAGGATCTCAGAAGTTACAGCTCAAATTATGCAGGCTCTTGTGTTTCCCAGCCAAACAGCCATCAGATGGTGGTGAAGGATGGGAAGCTGAAGAAAGGGAAGGGCAGCCTATCCGCCTCGAAAAGCTGGAGCTTGAGTGATCCGGAGTTGCAGAGGAAGAAGAGGGTTGCTGGGTACAAAGTTTACACAGCAGAGGAGAAGATGAAAGGGTCTCTGAGGAAGAGCTTCAAGTGGATCAAGAACACCTACACCCAAGTAGTCTACGGATGGCGATGATTCGATCAACGGGTACTTTGAGAGAAAAGAAGAAGAAGAATAAATACTTTATTGGTTTTTTCTTTTGTATTCAGGAGTTTTAGTTGTTCTGTGCATTTGTGAAGTTTATTATGCATCTGTCTACGAAATTAATTATAAAAAGTAATGGAATTCAATACTTTGGTATTAACTTCTTTAGCTAAGCAAGCAGACCTTGGTCTATGATGAATGTTTTCGGGCTTCACTCCGAATTGTTGAAGGTGTGTTGTGGAGATTTGTTTGCTTCTGTTTTTTAGACAATGAGATGTTTTGTTTACTCCAATATACGACGAGTAGGGGTATTTGAACTTGGGTGCAATGGGGCGGGCATACTGCCGTGACCAACTGCCCTAACCCGCTTTGTATGTTTGGGGTTGATGGTCTGGTTCTGATGTGGTCATGACTTAGATTAAACTCTATAGCTTGTCAGGTCTCCTTTCTACTTTTGCATGATTGCAGGTTTTTAGGTGTACCTAATTCTGCAGTTTGTTTGGAATGTAAACGGAAAAGAGCAAGAATAGGAAGAGAGGGGATCTAAATCGGAGGGAAGAAGAGAAGGGTTAGCATTTTGTTTGGAATGTAGACGGAAAAGAGCATTCGCCTGCTGCAGATGCCATTCAGAAAGATTAAAATCCCCCTATTCGATCTTCTGTGTTGCGATCACAAGCAAGACAACCACAGAGACTCGTAGAGAAACAAGAAATGGCTCCATTACGGTCTTTGGCACCCTCCAAGAACTGTCATTCAGGCTACACTGGTGAGTAACTATACTTCTCAATCTTTGTTCCTTTTGAGCTTTTCATGATTTCAGAGAGATGTTTTTGCTGGTAGCAGATTGTGAAATGTGAATTCAGATGGTTGTTTCATTCAATTCGGCATGTGAGAGTGGATTACAAGTGGATGGATCGAAAAGGCACGATGAGGTTTTGATTCAGCTGATTTTTGGTCTAAATTGGTCTTGATGGAGTCTAAGTACAGTTTAGATGGTCTAATTACGTTTCAATGAGATCTAAATACTGCAATCTGTTGATCTAGATATGTTGTTCTAGTCTGTAGACACATCCAAAACAAAACAAGACAACTCAATATCCAAACTTATCTAAACCACATCTGAACACATTTAGATCATATCTAATTGCATCTGGACCCTATTCTTGGTGTTTCGATCAGGTTATCAAAACTCCAAATTGACTTCACCCATCTTCGTCCCAGATAGATATCCAGCAGTTAAGACCATGCTACATGATCTTTCGTCACAGACTTCACAAAGAAATCACTCAGCTGAAACAAACAGAATCGATAAGAGCAAGTTTTATATGTCAATAGCAGAACTCTAATTACAGAACACCTTGGAATATATTTCAAGTTGATGATAGCAGAAACAAAAGATAAAAACTGTGACTACAGAACATAAACAAATAAGTGTGGTAGGATATAGACCCAGCAATTGTAAGAAGAAACTACCATATAATTCTGAATAAACTGAGTTCAAATTGCAGATATAATTTGTTTGGAATCCAATCTGAGTGCCAATTTACAAGACCAAACAAAGTAAAAGAAATGATGGTTGTAATGTTCAAAGTAGAGCAAGATTTAACTATTTTGTGGCAGCAGAACTTAACAATGAAAGTGATTGTTACGATCCGCTCAATCGTCAAATGAAGAAAACTTAAAAAACTTCATCCTGCAATTGTTTAACTCCCCCTCTTTGCTCATAATCTAAGCCAAGTTCTGCAAGATCCATTTTCCCGTCAAACTTTCTCAACTACTCAACCGGTACTTGGTCTTGATATCTAATTAAAAACCTAATAGAGGAAGTACTCCTTACTGTTCGTAAAGAAAATTTTCCTTTATTAATAAGCCCTACAACACTAGGACTCTAATAACTGAGCACCTAGGAATGATCCACTTCTATTAAGTATGAGATCGATCACCTGAATTTGCAGCTACTTCTGCAGCTGCAGGTTTCCAACCCATTTTGTTCACAAGAAAATTCATTTTACTCGCAAAGTTCTTCTCTGAGACTGCATGAACAAGGGATCCTTTCTAAACACCAAGAAGAAATCATCTTCAGTCCAACTGCACTTCCTATAAAATTCCACCCATTTTCCCCATTTTGATGCATCCATCATCAACATCACATGTAGCGCTTTCATGAATGGCGCAGACAAAGGTCTAAACCCCATCCTCAAGGCCTTGTCAACATTTTCTAAAACTTCTTAGCTTCAAGAATCACTAAAGGGATTTGTCAACCTTTAGATAATAGGACTGAGAATAGAACACCAAGGATTGACCCCTTTTCAAATCATAACAAAAAACTTGACATTGAATACATCATATGTTGTGGCGTCGTGTGTGTGTATGTCCGTGTCTATATATATATATATATATATATATATATATATATATAGACAGATGCATATATAGATCAAAGTTCCAATGTAATGTTCAAAGTGGGGAAAGATTTGATCCTGTTAATCATCACATTAAGAACAAAATTAAGATCATTCATCTTACAAATGGTTCACTCTGCCGCCTTCCTCGAACCCTAAGCCCAGTTCCACAAGACCATTTTCCCTTGATAGAGGATCATTAATTCAGGTATTTGCTCTTGATACTTGACTCCGAACCAATCCAAGAAAAAGTTGTTAGTTCGAATCACCGCGAAGGGCGAACTCCCAGACTCATGACCTTCTTTACAAAGAGATTGAGGCTTCTGGCACTCGAAGAGCTCTCAGAACTGAAACATCGGGAGTAATATTGCTTTAGCGCTTTGGACGGAAGCTCCTAAAGAAACGAGCAAATTCGACCGGCCAGTAATTAACTGTTGGTGCATTTGATCGCTTTCTAGTTACTACCAGAAAATCAGAGTAGTTGCAGGCCACATCATAGTAATGCTTTGAGACAGAGCTCTCGGTACTCGTCACTTTAACGAAAACACATATTTTTACATTAAAAAGTCAATCCTGTACTATTTAGTTTACCCTTTATTTTGTCTTTATCGTTAAAATTCAAAATTTTCAAACCATTTTCATTAGTTTTCCTTATAAAAAAGTATAACTAGCGGCGGATTTAGGATTATACTCGGGGCTCTTAGTGTAAAAAAGTTCATTTAGGCGACAACAGCGCATGCAGCAAAAAATTTTCAGTGGGCCATTTGATCCAGCATTTTGTGTGCTTATTGAGGATGTAAACATTTCCAGAGTAGTGTTGAGAATCTCTGATGATTTCTATCAAGTACAATTGCTAACTACCCACTATCGAGTGGTGTTGACACATATTGTCAAGGTATGTCTATGTGTCCTGCCAAGATATGCCAAATAGGTATTTTATCAAACATTTGGTGAACACAAAAATTATGGTACTAATTTCAGAGAGTACCTGGAGGACCTTTACCTACGTTATTTAGATACAACAACAACCAATGGATATCTGCATACATGCCCTTCAAGTACATTGCCACCACATACCAGTTGTGATCCTTTGACACATAACTTTCTTATGTGTTTCTATATCTCCCTTGACTAGTGCTAACTTCTAGTCACAATGTAGTATTCTCTTCACTTATAAAGGACTTCAACATTGGCCAATAAATTTTGAGTTTAATTTCTATAAATTGTAACAAACCGATGTATGTGGTAAGACAAAAGGTTTAAGTGCAATAAGAGTGATTTTAATTGTTAAGTGTCATATATGGGTCTCATGAGTCAGATTCTTATAAAATATACTTACACTGCTACAACATAAGAACCAAACTTAGGTAACCATATCCTTTAAATTGAATTCAAACTCAAATAACAATTGCGAAAGGGCTACGTGGGAGGTCCGACTCGCATGGACGGGAGTTCAAAACTTAATTATAATCGTCTATTGTGCGACTTAACCCAAACCCTCTTTCCCCAATGTTGTTGTGGAAAATTAGAAAAACACACCCATAATGCAATAAAAATAAGAAAAAAACTGAGATGGTGAGACCACCATGGCCATCTCTGATCGCCAATAGTACTATCTCCACATATAACGAATATATGAAAACAAAAAACAAATTGTATCTCCGAAGGCATAAATGGTTGCAATTTCATTCCATCAATGTCTGTCATTTAGCTCTTTATGCACGCATTTCTCCGAACAAGAAGGTTTGAGGACAATCATGGAATGCAAGCTGTCCATTTGGATAACAGAGCAGAGAACAGAACATCATGGAATAATGATTCTTTTGCAATCACAGATATAGAACTTCGAATTCTGGATACCGGACCATTCACAAGAAAATAGAGTACAAGAGGATGGTGGTAAAAAACAGAGTTCATGAGAGACCAAAACCAGCTAGCGTTGAAGGGGAATCCATAACAAAGAATCAACAAACATTAGTAACGATGTACCGAGTAAGTGAAGAGTTCATTGCAGATATAAATATGAGAACCAAAATCTACCTGTAAGAAATGCATCTCTAATTTGAACAATGAGGTTTCAAATGGAATACGTATTATCTGTTGAAGTCGTATTTACCCTCAGGGGATAATGAAGTTGCCATAAGAATTTAACACCGTATATATAAGCAAACATTCTTCAAGTCAGTCTTCCCAGGACTACTGTAATGTTCAAGGTAGAGGCAGCAGCAGATGATCTTACAAGGACTAAGTAGTTCGTATGATCCTGTTAATCAGCCAAGTCAATAACAAAACTAAGGACCTTCGCTTTACAATTGTCTCACCCCGTCCTTTTTTTGGTCCAAAAGACCCATGTTTCCTTCCAAGATGCGGAGTAATTCAGGCACTTGCTCCTGATATTTGATCACCAACCTATCCAAGAATAACTGCTTTCTGCCCCAGAGAACTGTAGTTAAAGAAAATTCTTTATTTGCTATCAAGCCCTTGGACATGAGTGTGGGAACATGATTTTTCAGGGTTGGAGTAAGGCTAATCCGAATACTGCTACCTCAGAAGTCTAGTCATGGACTCACTAACTCTGAGCGGAGCTGTATCAGATGAGCAGGGTGCCACCATCTCTATACTCCAGGGCAATAGGCGAAGTCCTAGTGACTCCACTGGATGACCATGCTTGTTCCGCATGACATGCGATCTGATCCGAATATGGACACAATCAGATCCTATAAGTCTTGGAGTCCTTACAATCTAGGATTGGACTGCGCGGTAAGTAATCACACTCTTAAGAGGATGCAATATCTACTTACTTGATATCTTCTAGAATTCTCCCGACTTTGAACGAGGATTCTATCCTAAAAAGGTCTCTCCCACGTTATAAATACATCCATCTAAGGTTTATCTATGGTAATGCAATATACACACTTTAATTCTCTTACCCACTACTTGAGTCTTAAGACCATTCACTAAGTTGACCGTCGGAGAGCCCTTGGCCGGCACAACCCCCTGGCCTAAGGTTTGCTTATGGTTGTCTTATTGTTTTGCAGGTTGCTAAGGATTACTCGGATTTGTGCTCAACCACCACTTACGGAGGTGCGTAGATTTGGTTCTAACAATTGGTGCTTTCATTAAGAGAACATATTCGTCTCACTTCACCCTCTACGACAATCTCCAAAGGAGATGCCAAATCCTAAGTGGAATGACATGTAATAAAATTTGAAAGCAGATAAAAACTCCAACCGATATGCCAATCCTTTTGTGGATTAACATATCTATTGTATGTTGCCAATTTTGACATATGAGAAAACTTGATGTCAAATTATTTTTTAAAATTTGTTGTTGTGCGGGTCCTAATAATGCACCAATCATAAATCATAGAAATTTTTTTTTATTTATTTGTTTTGAAGAGTGGGTCCTATAAATATTAGTTAAATAAGAAAAAACATATGGGTTGGAGCAAAAGAAAATTTGACATTGACACATAAACCTTCAAATTTACATTTGACATTTTATTTTTGACTTTCCATTGGAGATGCTCTAATATGTCAAAAAGTTCAGTCAACAACAAAAGCCCAACAGTCTCTCTAGACGACACCTACCGCGGGCACAATGGCGTCACTGCCATTGACGAGATGTGGGAAGACGTTATGGATATTGGCCTATCCTTGGAGATCATTCGATACTATCCATTGGCTAAAGAACCCGACTAACTCGTTGATATAAGGGCTCGCATCAAAGACCTCCAGGAAGTAGTTTCTCGCTTTGAGAAATTGGCTATTCGAAGGACAGAGGTAACGATTTGACTTCTAGAGAGTCATCCCAACGTTCTTTCCCCAAAAAAACTCCGTAAGAAATCCAAGAGGCTTCTGAGGCTTTACCTAGTCCAAAGCTCGGAGACAACAACATTCTCTGGGGTTAACTGCATATATGGGGAGCCAGTACGATCCCTAGGAATTGTGAAGCTAGCAGTCCAGGCCGAACCTACCACCTGGTGAACTTCCATGTGATGGATTGCCCGACCCCTCAAATGTAGGATAATATAAATGATTATGATCATAATACACATGTAAATTCAATCAATTAGATAATACCCAAATGCATCAAACACATATATCAATAAATAAAGCAGTAAAAAGGAAAAGGTAAAGAATGATATGGCCTGTGATATCAAGAGAGGCGTGTTGTCACTGTCCTAAAGTCGTAGACGCCTCACTACATGCCGGTTATAACGGCTATCTACAACTCCAAGATACAACCGTTGAATCTCACAAAGTGTCTAATCCATAAGCACAATTACGGTAAACAGGGTGCCAAGTAGTGATCAATTGCCCATTCATGATCAAGATAAGTAGGAAGATAATAAGGATTATATATGAGTACTATAGTAGGGAGAGAAGGAAGGCATTTGAATCTTTTATTAACGTTTGAGGAGTTCCCCATTTATAAAACTCTATATAACCTTTGGTAAAAAACATGACTTCTCTAATTGATATGACTCTTCATATTTATTATTTAAAATAATAATAAATAAAGTTTTGAATCTTTAAGAAAATAAAATAAATAACCAACAATCCCCCACAAGATTCAAAACTCCAAAGAAGTGTAAAAGACGTAAATATATATATGAATGGAAGAAATTTGGGCAACTTGTATACCATGCAATGGATGTAGGTGTCTTTTGGACTTGAACCTACACTTAGTGTTAAGAACTTTCATATGAAGGAATCATAGCGAACTATGTCTTGAACTAGATCCCTTTTGACCAAAGTACTGAATGTAACACACATGGTATCGATAAAAAAACTTGGCACGGGTTAGCACTATTTATGGCCATGTGCTTAATCTTGATTCTCATGAGAGTTATTAGAGAACAGCCCAATCCTCACAGTCGCAGCCTCATAACTATTCTCACTTAGGTGAGTTCTCCAAGAGCACATGTGACATGTACCCTGCGGGAGATTGCCCGCCTCAAAACTCATTCAGGGTTAATACCCTTCCTAACGTCACATAAAATAGCACTAATGCCATAGGGATGAGGGGAAGAATATCTCATGGATATCGTCAATATAATGAGTGATATTATGAATCACGCAGTGTGGATTGTTTCTACCACATTGAACTTCCTTCATGGGATCTCTAACAGAAGTTGGGTTTCTTCCCTAGGTGACTCCCTTATGGGCTTAAGCATCCCCCTCGACAATTTTGCATTTAGCCTCCCAGGGCATGCAAACAAATGATTAACAAGTCATTTTATTAATTATGATTGCTTCACAAGGCATATATAAGTTTTTTGGTCATATATTTGCTCGTCAATGCTCTTAAACCTGCATGTTATAACTAATTTCAAGCTAAAAAACATTTTAGTCATAATTTCACATATAAATTGTTTAAGGTGCATAATCATTCATAGCTTCACTAGAATAAACATGGGTACGAGCAATGAAACATACCCCCACATTATGGTGCATATCAGAAAATTCATTTCATGAGAATCTCAAATCAATTTCATTATATATAAGATATCAAAAGTAAGAGTAATTATACGCACATTGAAGAAAATTCAATATTATTTGTTTGTTCTAGTGAGCAATGACATAAAAGAATTAGGAGATATTGTTAAATAACCAAGAGAGCATCAAACAGTAATCTATATTTCCACAGTATGCTTCAACATTAAGTATAGAATAGTATACACACATAACTATTTTATAATTGACAACAAATTCAATCTCACGATAAATCTCACAGCCATATATATAAATATGAACATCAACCGTAAAGTAACTACATGTACTTGCATAGAAGTTTAACATGTTCTCCATTTTGTTTCATGCTATAAATCTCAATAATTTCACATGTGTAATCTCCAAGATGAAACAAAAAAATTATAAAAATAAAAAATCCCCCACAAGATTCATTTACGTGCCGGTTATAACGGTTATCTACAACTCCAAGATACAATTGTTTACCAAATGCTAGTTACTCTGCTACCTAGCATTCGATGGAGTAAAAGAAATAAAAGGAGACCAGTTGGTGGCACATTGTTGTTCCATCGAAACTATGAACATGATATGAAAAGGAGAATGCAATTCTAGCACGCGCATGGACAAATCAACATAGCAATCACAGCCATATGGTCTACAGAAAAGTTAAAAAGAATTTGACTTAGATCATAATCCCCAGGATGACATCACGCCAAAATCTAAGGCAAATGAAGACGCTGTCTACATCAGCCTTGACCCCGACATGCCAAAGCGGAAAGCTCAAATTGGCTCAAAGTTGACCAATTGAGAAAAAGAACTGTTTACCAAATGAAGACGCTGTTTACCAAACCGTTGTTCTTGACTCTTCAAGATTGCAACAACTTCCTGCAATTCTACAGTCTCTAGACACTTTGTATTTTCTATAACCAAACAGATCGAATCATAAGGTTTACTTAGACGTATCAGAACCTTCTGCACAAGTCTCTCATTAGAAAGAGATTCACCAAATGTTCTCATCTGATTAATTAAGTCATTCAGTCTTGTGAGATAACTAGATATGGATTCATCATCTCGCATTCTAGGATACTCAAATTCTCTTCTAAGATTTTGAAGTTTTACCGATCTAACCTGATCACCACCATGGTATTCACTGTACAGTAGATCCCATGCCATCTTGGCTTAGTCGGCGTTGGCAATCCGAGGAAAGATCTGATCAGAAATAGCATTTTGTATAATACCTAGAGCCTTTGCATCCCTCATGAGCACAGCAACCATTTCATCACCGTCGTCTTCCAACGACCCTTCAGCTTCCTTCTTCTTCTTCTTTGAATCGGGTGTTGGCAATCCCTTTTCTACCAGATTCCATAACCCAATGGATTTGAAGATTGTTACCATTTTAATTCTCCAGAACTCGTAGTTCTCACCGGAGAAGATTGGAGTTCTCACCTCCGAGTCTCCAGATCCAGACATCTTGCAAACCTTTCGTGAGCTTCGATTGAGCTCAGTGACATCACAGATTTACGCCCAGATTTTTAAATGACGCAACCTGGCTCTGAGGCCATGTTAGTATTTGATATTTCTGATTAGCAAAAGAGAAGGAGAGAAGATGAATGCACAGAGACGATGAGAAAAGAATAGTTGCTCTTCCACTCTGCAAAATTCACAGAGGGATATTCTATTTCATTAATGCTTCTCTCTCAGTCTCACACAACGTGCAGGGAGAGATATTACAGCTAACAAGAGCTGAGTTGGATCAACATATCAGAAAAATTGATCTCAGCCATTCATTACCTAACAACTAGGATCATCACACATGGCACTCATGGCCTTACATCTTTTTACTTTACACTTGGTAGATATGCTCAAGTGAATACACAAATAAACTCATCTTATTTCACTAATACTAATCAGCTATAGACTTATAATTCAACAGACATAATTAATAGACCTTTTCAACTGGTGTGATTTGTGTTTAACTTGTTTTGTAAAGGACTGAGATTTGACACATTATTTATGCAGATGCTGCTATCAAACAAGCAAATTGGGACACCTCTACAGTTATGGACGAACTTGTACGTGACATGAAAGCCCATGTTGCATCAGTTTATGCTCACAAGATATCCGAACTTGATGCACATTGTAAGGTATATAATAGTAATATTTTTTTTCTCTTTCTTTTGACTCTTCTGAAATAGTTGGAGTGACTGGTATTCATAAACCTCCAAGCCAGAAGTCGGCACCAAGAAGAAAGTAAAAGGGGTAGGATGAAGAAAAAATGGAGCTACTGTCACAAGTTAATTTCTTTAAGCAGTCTGATTGATTTTATTGTGACACATTCCAAGTAGTTTGTGGATCTTTTCTAAAATGGTAGTCAATCTCTACATGTTTATCCATGGTGACTAAATTGTCCTGGGAACCTGGTGGCTGACGTAACAAAAATGCAGGGGAAGTTGGAGCGGTCGTTGTCAGGACCGGTGAAAGCCCTTCTAGAAAGACCTAACAATGAGACATGGCCTACATTAAGAAAAATTCTCCCACAAGAAATTGAATCAGTTCTTTCTGGGTGCTGTACTGCATTTCCTGGTTTTGATATGGATGATCAAACCAAAGGCAAAATACGTGCAACTCTAGAGGAACACGCAAGACATGAGGTTAAAGCTAAAGCAATAGAAGAGGCTGAAGGGGTTCTGATCCATATGAGGGAAAGGTAAGAAATTCTTACACTTGTTTGATCATGCTATAACATTGCTTCAGATTTTTCCGTATGCGATTGAGATTTAAATTGCCTGAAGATTTGCAGCTTATTTAGCCATGACTCTGAATCTCTGATGATTTATTTAAATTGCCTTCAGTTTTTCAGAACATTTTAGGCACGATTCTGATACCATTCCACGTGTTTGGAACGGGTGGGAAGATATCAGAGCAATCACCAAAACTTCTCGTTCTGCAGTACGGCACGATTTATATTATAACACCCATTGAAACTTGAGTTTGAATTTGACTTGAAGCTTTGTTAACCTTGTATACTGCTAATTTTTTCAGGCCTTAGAAGTGCTTTCGGTTTTGGCTGTGAGCCGTTTGGATGGTGACGATGATGGTAAAAATGTTCTGAATACCTTATCCCGTGCCTTGCTTGGTTCCACAAATGTTCCTGCCAGAGATGGGAATGTCACAACATTTGACCTACTGGCCTCAAATACTTGGGAAGAGGTGAACTTTCTTTTCTGGTTCTCTAGTTAGAAATTAGGCTATGCATTTTAGTTTCTTCCGGACATGGACATGCAAGCGTCCTTGTGGAACATCACAAATACAAGATACCCTCCTCTCCCCATGCCAATCAGAATCTGATTCTTCACCTGCAAACAAACTCTCCCCCTCCCCATAATTTCCACCCGCTTTCCATTACTGAAAAAAAATACCGAAACTTGGATGATATTCAGATGTTTTCATCCTTGTGGGAGATGTGGGCTGCAAAGTGCCTCCCTCTCTCCCTCCACCCATCGCCTCCCCTAATTTCTCTCTGCCTCTCTCTCTGATCAGGTGTTCATGTTGTGGTAGCCTCTTATTTTCATGTAAGCACCATGTACCTTTTTTGTGACTTTTCACCCCCTCTCTATGCAGGTTGAATCATCAAAAACATTGCTCATGCCTTTCCAATGTAAAAATTTGTGGGGGCAATTCTTGGCAGATGCCGAGATCATTGTTTCTAAGGCAGTTGCTGAACAGGTATGATATTTCACCTATTAATGGTCACATATTTTGATTTTCTCTTCTTCTCTGTATACCATGATTTCAAAAGGAAGAAAAAAACAAAAAGTATATTCAAACTGACATGAAATAGTTTTGTGTAGGTTTGGGTGGTACTAATATGCATAATACGCTGATCTAATGCATTGCCAGTCCTTTACATATTTTGTTTAATTTGAATTACACGGGTCAATTTTTCCATTAATCAAACATGTTGTTTTACGTTTCAGGAGGCCAACAAGCGTTTTAGATTATATCCTTGGTTCATTGCTGGTGTAATTTTCCTGGGATTCAGTGCCATTAAGAAATTTTTAAGGTACATACTATACTTCTCTTATACAGTAGAGGATAAATGATAGTTTGTTAGTGTTCTTCTACCATATTAAACTTACTCCGTCATGGATGCAGCAATCCCTTCTGTCTTGGTGTCATCTTGTTCCTATATTCCTTAATAGATGATATGTTGTTAGTGTTCCATATTGCTGTCACCGAGGTCTAGTTACATATATATATAGTTTACGGCTATATATATATATATATATATATATATATATATATAGTGTTCTACCTAGTTACAAACTGAGTTCATACTCATTTTGTAGTAGTTTTGTTATGATTCCAGGTGAGGGTAGAGTGCGCCAACATAGACTAGCGCTGTCGCAGAAATAGTGCGGAGCCACCAATTTTCAGTAAATTTTGACCTCAGATGGGAGAGCAGCTTGTACGAATCGGGTTTACTTACACGGCACAGTCCAATTGGCATGCAAAATAATTTTGATTAAAAAAATGAAGTTTGTTTTATATTGTTATTTCGAGTTGAAAATTGGAAATTTCAACTATAGCGAGAACAATGGGGGTTTAGTCAATTTGAGTTTTAAAAGATTTTAATTTTTCTTTTTAAGTGACAGATTTTAATAGACTTACAATTTTATATGGATTTTAACACATTTATATGGATTTCTATTATAAAAATTTCTATGTATTTGGTACATTTGTATGGATTTTATTTGTAGATTTTGATGGATTTGCCTAGGCTTTTATTTTCATTTATCTAGATAGTTTTTACTAGTAAAAACGCTCGCGCTCTGCTGCGGGAAATGTCACAAGTATAATCTTATACGATCTAAATGTTTTTGTCATTCCTACTTCTTTTTGGCATCGTGTGCAAAAAAACGTAAACTCCAAGCAACAAATTGATAGCTGAGAAGAAACAAAAAACGTAAACTTACTAAGGCAACAGCTACATCTTCAACTGTATTTTTAACTGCCCTCAGACCATCACGAACAGCATTGGCACTTGACCGAGGCTGTATTCAAGTGTAGCAGAATGTATCTTAACACCGGGTAGGATGGTTTTTTCTGATGTGTCTACAACAGCATATTTATATCTCATGAGCGACTCATGCATATGGAATTAACACAATCAAATCTGTGTGTGTAGCCATTTAAAATCACATTTTACAGTAGAGCTTTCAATGAATAAGTAGTTCTTATGATCCTTTTAGTCATCAAATTAAGAAAAAGACTAACAGAGTTTCATCTACCAATTTGTTCACTACAATACACCTCATTCCTCAAATACAAAGACCAGTTGCACTAGGAAGTCTGGGCACATCTACATGACGCCAGCCCACTGGCTTCCGGAAACTAAATTTTAAGTTGATCATAGCAGAAACAAAATTAAAAAAATGTGTCACAAAACATAAACTAATAATAGTGTCAGATCGGATACAGATCCATCAATTGTAAGAAGAATGTGTCTCAGAGAACAAGAACACTGCAATACATGCTATTTGGAGAAGTCATCCATACAGATATGAAACATAGTTTAAAGAAATGCCTATTGTAATGTCAAAGTAGAGAAAGATTTCACATTTTGTGGCAGGAGGACTTACAGTTGATCTTCAATCATCGAACAAGAAACAACATTGCAGCTTCTTCCTAAAATTGTTTCACACCGTCCACCTTTTGCTCAAATCCTAAGCCCAGTTCTGCAAGTCTCAATCTCCCTTCAAAGATGTTAAGTAATTCAGGTACTTGCTCTTGATATTTACAAGCCTATCCAAGAAGTACTGCTTCGGTTTCCTGACAAGGGTACCTAAAGAAAATTCTCCCTTTGATATCAAGCCTTTCGACCAAAGAATTCTAATAACTAAGCACCTTGGTATGATATACTTTTCCAAACTATAATTTAGAGCAACTGAACTTCCAGCCACGTCTGCGGGATGCCAACCGATTTTGTTCACAAGAAAATCCATTTTACTCGAAAAATTCTTCTCTGTTAATTCCATAAACTGAGGATTCTTTCTAAATGCCAACAAGAAATCATCTTCAGTCCAACCCCAATTCTTATAAAGCTCCATCTTTTGTGCCCATTCTGGTTCATTCACCCGAGTAATCACATACAGCACTTTCATAAATGAGGCAGACGAAGGGGGGACACCCATACTCGTGACCTTCTTGACATTTTCCTTAAACTTGTCAGATTCAAGGGATATTAGAAAAGGACGATGTGACACCCAATAAGAGATTGAGGTTTCTGGCACTCCAAGTGCTCTCAGAACTGAAATGTTGGGAGCAATGTTGCTTCTCATTTTGGCCAGCCCTACCCACTGAATGTTCGCAAACAAACGAGAAAGCTTGTAGTCATCGAGAACAAGTAAACTTTTTATGATATGATAACAAGGCATGAGACTTCCCTCTATGCTTCGTTCTAAAACAACCGGGCTGATACAAACCATGTGAGCAAGGCCGGTACCTGAAATGCCAATAGAAGCGAAAAACTCAAGCTTTGGGACAAGGTTCTTCTCAGCATTGGCTAAGAGCAACTTTGGACGTTTCTTAACAAGTTCTGAGATGTGGGTTTTACTGAATCCATGGTGTTTGAGAAGATTAAGAACCGAATCCGGTCTTTCTCGGGCATCAAATTGTACCTTCTTGGACACAGAAACAGCGAGTTTTTGGGACAACCCACATGAGTTCATAAGGTAAGACTCTGTAAAAGAGCCACATTTTTCTCCTAGTGTATCTTTTTCAGAAACTAATGATGATTTCGATGAATATGACCTGAGAAAAATAGCTTCTTTTTGGAAAACTTTCAAATGGGTCGCTGAATCACCAACAATTCCGAGCATTAATTGCAATCTTTTACAACAAGAATTGAGCATAATTGGATGGATGCAATACAGCCAGGCACAAATGCAGTACTTGTAGTGAACGAGCAGGAACTCACCAAATAGACAATGGTTTCTCTTCTTGGTTTCGAGCCGCCAGCAATTTCATCAACTGCTTTACTTCCTACGCCAGCCAGAACTGGCTGAAGGAAACAAGTGCTCCCATTTTCAATTTTATTTTGTTTTGGACGCTATTATGAAACCAACTAATATTTATAGGGTAATGTTTTTTTCAATAGTTGCATTTATTTGGCATAAATTTAACCTTAATTTCTCACTTACAAGTAAAGAAAAATATGACTAAATTGTAATATTAAGTGGTCTCATACATTAAAATTTAAATATTTATGTGTAAATCGCATGTAACTTTCTATACCGACAAGTAGATGAAGCTGACACTTTTTTTAAAAAAAATTATTATTATTAAAGGGAGGGGGATGATTCAAAATATTAAACTAAGTTAGGAATTAAAACATTTTCGAACCTGAGACGCTTAATAAAAAAACCCAAAACCCTATTAATCAGGTTAGTCGACTACTTGCATAAAGTTTGATATTTGAGTATACAACAAGTAATGATAAGTTTTTCTCTTATGACAAGAAAAGAGTTTGAGGTTTCTTGTTTTTCCTCCAATGACTTCATTTAGTTTTTGGTCCAAACATTACATTAGAGAAAGAAAAAAAAAATTTATACTTTGTGTTCCTTTGGAAACCCAAATTTGGATTAGGCAAACTTAGTTCGAAATTCTAGTCCATTAGAGAAGGAAATACATCATAACTCGTATATATTAGCGAGAGATGCCCTAGGGATGACATGATCGTTGCATCTCTATCCAAGTTTTTCTGCAACCTTCACTGGGGAATGAAGAGGGAAACCATAGCAAGTTACATTGTTGAATCAAGGTATAGAACCAAAACGCGCCAGGGACGCCTAACAAACTGAGACTTGAGGGATGAAGTACAAGAAATTCTGGAACCACTGCATTGAGACTTCAATTAAAAGAAATGTGATAAAAACCCAAGTTGCATTTGGAATTCCGGCCACGTCTCGTCATCCACCGGAAAACACAATTCAAGTTTGGCAGAAACATTAAAAATGCATCTACTATACACAAACTAATCAGTGTCAGATAGGATATAGACCTAGTAATAATAATTTATAAGAAGAAATTAGCATAAAGGAGTGCCAATTTTGCAGTGCGGATATAAAACCAACGTCAGAACAAGTAAAATAAATACCTATTGCCTATTGGAACGTCAAAGAAATAAAAAACAGAAGCAGCTTCTCCACACAAGTCTCAGTTTTGATCAAATCCTAAGCCTAGTTCTGCAAGTGTGGATTTCCCTTCAAAGATGCTCGGTAATTCAGGTACTTGATCATGATATTTGATTACAAACCTATCCAAGAATTTGTGCCCATAAGCAACCAGCACGGTCCCAAGAGAATAATCTCCCCTTACTATAAAGCCTCTGTAACGAAGAACTCTAATAACTGAATACCTTGTTACAATCCACTTCTCCAAACCTCTATGTCGAACAGTTGGATTTCCGGCCACATCTGCACGCTGCCAACCCATTATATTCACAAGAAAATCCATTTCACTCAGATATGTTTTCTATGCTAGATTCCCATGCCATAAAATAAGGGTCCTTTTGAAATGCCAACAAGAAATCATCTGCAATGCAACCCCGCTTCTTATAAAATTCAATCTTTTGTGCAAATTTTGTTTCACTCAACAGTTTCATCGAATTAACCGCAGCCATAAATTTGTCAAACGAAGGGGGGACACCCAGACTCATGACCTTCTTGACATTTCCCTTATACTTCTCAGTTTCAAGTAACAATGCAGAGAGATGATGGACCACCCAATAAGAGATTGTGGTTTCTGTTACTCCAACTGCTCTCAGAAGCGAAGTGTTGGGAACAAGGTTGTTTATCACTTTGGCCGGCTCTACCCACTGTTTGTTCTCTAAGAAACGAGCAAGCTCCTCGTCATTGAAGACACCTAAACTTTTCAATGTATAATAACAAGGCTTGATACTTCTCTCTAAGTTTCGTTTCAAACTAACAGAGTTGAAACCAAGTATCCGATCAAGGTTGGCGCCTGAAATGCCAATAGACTTGAAAAACTCGCGTTTGGGCTTAATGGTCTTCTCAGCATCGTCTAAGAGCAGCCTTGGGCGTCTCCTAACAAGACTGGAGATATATCCCCGACTCCATAGTGTTTGAAAAGATTAAAAACCGAGTCCGGTCTTTCTGGGGAATCAAAATGCACCTTCTTCGACGCAGAAACAGCGTCATCTATCGACAACCCACATGGATTTATAAGGTACATAACTGTAAAAGAGCGATCTTTCTCTCTGATTTTATCCTTTTCAGCAACTAATGATGATTTCGATGCATATGATCCGATAAAAATAGGCTCCTTTTGAAAGACACGCAAACGGGTCGCTGAACCACAAACAATTCTACAACATGGAAGCACTAATTGCAATCTTTTACACCAAAAATTAAGCATAATTGCACCAAAACAACCAGACAAAAATTCTTGAAGCGAGGAGAAAGAACACTCACCAAATACAAACAATGGTACGGTTTTCTTTGCTCAGCTTCGACCCCCAACAATTTCATCAACTGCTTTACTTCCTACGACAACTTTCGCGAGTTAGGGTTTTGCTCCTGCGCTCACAAAACCCCCAAACAGACTCGGTCACTCGAGTTAGGATTTGGGTCGGGTCGGTGGCAGTCTTGGGTCTATTTTTTTTTTAACAAACGATATTATATACATTACAAGAAAGAGATGAACTTAGCCTCACAATGAACTAACAATAATGTGATTCAAATTTATCTTTGGCGAGCATCGAACATAAAACCTCTTACTTCATTTTAATCTCATTAAAACAACTTTGTTGAGGGAGTTAAAATGAAGTTGACGTAGCCTCATAACGAAGTTAATGTAGCCTCACAATGGGCTAACCAATACGTTTTATCGAGGGAGTAGTGTTAGACTACATCAACTTCATTTTAATCTCATTAAAATAACTTTGAGCCTATCATAACTATTGGTCCAAGGTTTGTTGAATCAGTAGCATATAATACTTCCACTGTTTAAGTGAAACAAATGAGAATTTATGGAACTACTAACGGATGCATAGCACTCTCCTATGGACTATATAGTTATCTTAGGTCTTACGATGATTATGAACCTTTTGATTTGATGAAACACGAACCTTGTGTTAGCCCTTTGGTCTAGGAAGGTGTGGACCATGCTTTTCTAGGACCATGACAAGTGGCACCTTGGATGGCAAGAAGAACCAGAATGCCCATAGCCTATGAAGCGTAGTCCGACATCCTTAGTCCGGCAAGTTAGGCTTTAGCCCATTAAAGATATTACTTGTCTCCCAAGTAAAGAAATCCTAATTCAAGTCAAATTAGGATATTTTGGGGTTAGGCAACGTAATCATAATCCTAGGAGAATTGGACATCTTCTAGATCATATCCCAATTTAATGGAGACTACTTTTCCTATAAGGATTCTCAAGATCTCTATAAATACTCTAGCATGGACATTTTTCAGGAGACTTCTCTAGTACTCTCGAACGGTTCTTCATCTTCTCTAGAAGACTACAACACAAATATTTCCTCACCACGCCACCGTCTACACGTAGACACGTTCATGGAGAACTCATCTTATTAACACCCCTCCATAGTCTATTCGTCAATGATGGTTCATGATGTATTGCTTATCACACCATTCTTTCTGAGAACTACACCCGTGATTTGATTCTCCTTCTGGAGGTACGTAGGCAGTCGTATTCGAAGTCAACTACCCCCCCCAATCAACCTCATTCTCCCCTCGCCAAAGATCACAGACAATTCCAATTGGATTTCACTTGCGTCCGCGGATGTGCGTCAATTTAGTTCCAACGATTGGTGCTTTCATTGAACTGATAAAAATACCGAATCCGAAAAATAGTGAAGTATTCGATGTGGGAATTGGTATCCATATCCCGTTTGTTCTGTAATCGCGTAGCGAACAGGTAAATATCTTAATATAATTTTTGATATAGTCAAATTAATAATCATCATTGGATTGAATCTCAACCGTTTGTGTTCTCTCTCTCACCTCACTTTCATAGACTCTCTCTCACCTTAGGTCATCTCCAACCGAATGGTCTAGAGGGGCAGAGGGCCGAAAATAGCCCGAAAACCGTTTCCAACTGAGGGCTAGGCCAGAGGGCTTTGGAATCTGAGAGGACCCCACGGAATTGGAGAGGGTTGGAGGGCTGGCTATTTTTTTTTAATGTTTTGTTATACTAAATAATAGCATGTATTACTGTTGGTTATAACGGACAGGATTTCTTAAGAAAAAAATTCAAATGCAACGGTTAGTAGCCGTTGCATTTTTTATTTTTTATTTTTACAGTTTTATTATTTTTTTTATTTACAAAATTTTTCATATATCTTCTATTTTTTCCTATAACTTCTATTTCACAAAATTTGTTTCATATTTTTTTTAAATTCTATTTTTTTTCCTATAACTTCCTAAGCCATTATACAACATTAAATTAAATTATGTTTGGCCTTATGACCCTTAGTTGGAGACGGTTTTTTGTGAAAAGGCTAAAACGAGCCATCTGGCCCTCGGTTTGAGATGGAAGCAAATATGACCCTATACTGTTCATTAAAATATTAATATCTTGAAAAATCTTGGAGGGCCAGAGAGCTAAAATGAGCCATCTGGCCAGCCATCGGTTGAAGATGACCTTAGTACCTCAGTCTCTCGACTCTCTGTCGACCATCGAAGCTCTCTCGACTCATCTCATCTCTGCCCTGTCCAAGTCTCCGACTTCACCACACTCCGCACTTTTGAACCTGTCCAGTGCGGTCAAGACTTGGAGGCACGCATCTTTGACTCTCTCCCTCTCGACCCTGTCTAATTTCTTTATCCTCTAAGGCGTAACTCTAGACCACCCATTTCTCTATACTCGCCATCAACCACAATCCTCTTTGCTCCATCTCCAGTGTTCAAGCCATTAAGGTAAGCAATTCCATATTTTTAAAACGAAGTAGGGATTTACAATTTAGGGCTTTTGAATTAGGGTCGACTTAAGGATTGCATCAGAATTTGGGATTTGGGATTGTTCATCTGTGTTTGTTTGGTTATTGTGTTATTGGGTTGCTCTTAATCTTGATGGCAAATTTGGTTTTGCAATGACCTATGAATAATTGAAAATTTTCAAATTTACTAGGCCATGCTTTCTAGTTCGATTTCGATCATTACTGAATTTCGGAAAAACCGAAATTTCGATTAGACCGAATCAGCCTAGTCAAAACTGTTTCATAAAAATTTACCAAACACAATAAAACACTTTTACAACTATAGTTTACCAAGCACTTCTTTATTTCACAACTTGTTTTCACGACACAACAAAAGCAGTTTTTTTTCAGAACACTTCAATGCCAAACTAAACCCTAGAAATATTGACGCACATAGCTCCAAAAAAAAATATGTAACAGGAACGAATCAACCTCAACTCACAGGTCTTAACACTCGGTTCTTTTAACTATTTATAACCCGAACAAGGAGGATTACAATATCATAATATGCATCAACAAATCAAAACATTGGTGTACTTACAGTTTTACAGTGTCTATCTGCATTGAGTCACGTTGTAATGTTTGATGAAAAGCACAAACATGCATGATAACATCAAATTAATAAAGGTATCTAGAAGGTGAAACCAGGGCGACCCAACTCGAACTGTACTGACAAAAGGGCTTTTTACCTGGGTAGGGTTTCCGGGGCATCCAACTTCCACTTCTGTATCGCGTCTTTATTGCAAACTGCTTTAGAGAGACGGCCCCCAAACTGTTGCAGCTTTCCTCAAACATAATACACTTTTAAAACAAATTCCACCCCAAGCGCGTGACAAATGTATACGGTATTTCAAATTTACAGTGGACCAGAAATTGAGAGAGGCTGCTGCTAATACTGTACTCTCTCATCATTATTAAAATGCAGGCTTTCAATACCCTTGAGAGTGGATTCTAAGTTCTTTGCGTTTGAAATGTTTCTTCCTGAAGATGTACGGTTGTTCTCTGAAGGCACAACCGGTGAACTTCTTTGGCCACTAGAAATTTTACCTAGTGTTCCGGGGCTTAATTCTGTGGTTTGAGGGCGAGAGGGATCAGCGTCACTGCCAACAAGCACAGCATCCCGACTGCTAGACACTGCAGCCCTCCTCGATGATCCACTTGACCGCATGAAATTAGAACTTGATAACTGCATGACCCATGTAAAATGAATGGAATAAATTAATCCAAAACTGTACAAACCCAAATAACAATGAATAAAATGAAATATCTGTAGAACTGAGAGAATATTGTCAAACTAGTTAATCGAAAATAACCAAACGGGATGAAAGTTTAATGAATCAAGATTTAAACAGAAACGCGTTACCATTGCATCTTTAGAAAGAGATCGATCATTTGCAGCAGGACTTTTTTGCCTAGAAATGTTTCCAGAATTTAGAATCGGTCCAGAGTTTCTCCTACGAGAAGGATCTGACAATGACCAACCAGTTGGTCTACCTTCCTCACCACCTGCAAAAAGTTAAGAACAAAACGTGAATAAATAACAGTTGAGGTACTTGAAAAGAAAGACAAACAAATACTAGAATAAAATATAACAAGAAACACTTCAAGGAGATTGGGAGAACACTTATAACAGCCATATAAAGTAACCCGAATGATGCAGCAAAACAAGTATGTCACTGCACTTTCAAGGTACTAAACTAGGTAAACAGGGAGACATGAAACAGAGTTTTGGCATCCAAATGAATTGCTGCTATGCAGAAAATGAAATGAATGGCATAATTACCAGATTGTCTTTCAGCATTTGCCACAGTCGGAGGCAAGCCAGAGCTCGGACCAGCATTAGGACCCTATTCAATATAAAGTAATGTCAGATTAATGTATGCACTAAAATGCACTGAAAATGTACCATTACAGCACTTACAAGAGGCCGAGTAGGAGGTGTGGCAATCTGTGACTGCTGATATTTCAAGATAGTCCAATCAAAGACGTAATCAAACTGAAAACCTGAAGAAAGAAGACAACCATGTCAGTAGGCATGGTTAACGACCTAACATCAATAGAGTTGCTGCAACCTATCAAAGAACAATTTCAAACCTTCCCGAATAAAAAGATCACGAAAGAGTCTCTTCAGATAAGCATAATCTGGTTTATCATCAAACCTCAGAGACCTACAGTAATGGAAGTATGACGCAAACTCTGTGGGATACCCACGGCATAATGCCTACGAAAGAATTAAGAGAAAAACCAGTGAATATTCCCTAACGAATAAAATTCTATACCATCTTATGTCTTTATAAAAAATATATATTAACAAAGAATTGTAATCATTATATTTCGGCTTACCTCGATAGAAGTTGACACTTTTTTTTCACTGATCTTCTCATACTTCTGCTTTTTCGTTCCCGCTTTCAGTCCTTGCCAAGGAAGACTTAAGAAGGAGAACAAATGGTCATAAAACAATAGAACATGCAAATATATACACACACATATGACAAGGGCAGGCACAATAATTACCTTCCTCGTAGAAAGTACATGAGCACATATCCAAGTGATTCTAAATCATCCCTGCGGCTTTGTTCTATGCAGCATAAAATTAACATGATCAGACTAACATGATAGGCGGAAGAAGAAGGGAAAAAGCTACGGAAGAGGGAGAGAGAGAGAGCTTACCAATGCCAAGGTGGGTATTCATGCTTGCATATCTTGCAGTACCAGTCAAATTCTTATTTTCTCTGCAGTTAAATAATTACCAAATCAACTTTAGTTTACCACTTCATATATGTTATCTTCGTATCTATTACAAGCATACTTTATTTTTTCACAGAAACACCTAACATAAAAAGGCTAAGAAAGACATGAATTGTCAACAGTATTGAACTGGGGCAGTTCCCAAAATGAAAAGACGAATTGATCACAATATAGAGAATAAATTGCATGCAAGCAATATCGTGTGGTTTTCTTCCCAAATCATTTATTTGTGGTCTAGATACTGACCAACTCCTTCCCTCCTTCCCTTTGGATGGTTAAAACAAACACCAGAAACCAAAAGAAAGTAATATTATAAGTCCCCTAAAATATAATTATTCAACGACTACCATTATTTAAAAGGGAACTTTAACGAAAAGCTCCCTGTATTGTTCACTTTAACGAAAAACCACAATTTTACACTAAAAACTCAATCATGGTACTATTCACTTTACCCTTTATTTTGTCATTGTCGTTAAAACTCAAAGTTTTCAAGCCTTTTTCATAAGTTTTCTTTATTTAAAATGCTTAACTAAACTTCGGTACTCTAGCCCAGAGTCACTAGACAAAATTAAATGACATTAGCACACAGTCCCTACACCTAGTTTATTATATCTAATGGTGCTATCCATACATCCCTTATCAGTATATGGACAGCTATCTCTCGAGCACAAGTTTAGGTTCGGCCTCAATGGGAAAATAAGAGCACCTAACAATGTATCTTCAGACCAAGAACTCTTCAAAATGATAATCCACTGATGTTACAACGGACATCTATTGCAACAAGAGTTAAAAACAGACACAACAAAGAGCAACCACTTAAAGAATAGGGTAGAAATCTTGATACACATTTTACTTTTAAAAATAGGAACAAGAACAGAACTAAAAGCATTTCATATTTGAGGCCAGCTATGTAACTAAGTAATATAAACCAAGAATCAATTATTAAATAATCCAAACAAACCAACCTATAAGGAATATGCTGATGAGTCGAAGTGTCTCTATACTTCTTAGCAAGACCAAAGTCAATGATGTAAATCTACATGAAAGAACAGATTTTTAATGCATTTATATATAAAAAAACGCATAATCAAAACCAAAGTTTCATAGTGAGTCACAGAACAAGGAAAAAAACAAATTTAAATAGAAAGTTCCAAAAACCTGATTTGCTCGTCGACCCAAGCCCATTAGGAAATTGTCTGGTTTGATATCACGATGTAGAAATGACTTGGAATGAACAAACTCCACTCGATTGATCTGACACAAGTTCCAAGACTCAGATGAACAAACTGCAAGGAAGATTAGATTCTAGAAGAAAATGCATCTGTGAAAAGAATCCTACCATTTGATCTGCAAGCATGAGAACAGTCTTAAGAGACAATTTTCTACTGCAAAAGTTGAACAAATCTTCAAGACTAGGTCCCAGTAAATCCATCACAAGAACATTGTAGTCTCCTTCAGTGCCAAACCATCTCACGTTTGGAACTCCAGCTGCAAAAATTGTATATAGTAGCCAGTTCAGAAAGATACATGCCAGACCTTGCAAAATATTGAAAAGCAACACTGATAGTGGTAAAGGCCATTACTTCCTCCCTGTAGTATTTTATACAGCTTTGATTCATACAACAATTGCGGATGCTTTGTTTTGACATTTTCCTGAGAAAAAGAAGTACAATGAAATTTAAGCAAATTAAACATATAAATTGGCAAATTCATCCAAATATGCACACACACACAAAACGATGATCATAACCAGATTTCTAACATTTATCCTCACAACACAGTTCAAGGAATCAAACGGCAGCAGTCTAAGCATCAATGAGAAACACTACATTCACAAAGACTTGCTAAATAAAAGAAATAAATTCAAACATAACTATTGTCATGCATAGAAGGCACTGAAAGCATTCGAAAGTCAGGTTCACTAGGGCCACATCACTGTAGACTAGCAACGACCCAGAATCGTCAATAGTTACAGTGTAGATACTCCAAGATCTACCAAGCGAACAGGAATTGACGCCAAAGTATCAAACAAACTACTCCACTTGCGTCACCCAACACAGTGAACCAACATGCCCAAACAACACTCAACCATATAAATCACATTCTGCTTTTTCAAATTTTCATTTTCCAGTATCACCCAATTTCAACCACCCACAACGTGGGAGATGGATTACTTCAAATGCAAAGAACATAAAGGATACTAGGTTCAGTTTCAACCGTGAATGCCATGCCTCAATTGAAATCCCCTCCTCGCATTTACTAAAGCGATACACAGTTGAAGAGCCCCCAAAGTCTCAATTACGCATTAAAACCGGCCCAAATTTCCATTTCTACAGCACTCATCCTAAAGTAGCCTATTTCTACACGGCATGATCATCAGCTAGCAATGATATAAATACATAATTGATCATAGTTTGGAGGTCAATTCGGCAAAAAGATTATTAATACAGCATAAATATCCAAGAAAAACTAATAATTTCTTAATGCTGCATAAAAACATTTAATTCCAAGAAAATGTGTGAATTAAAACAGAACTTACGAGCTTAATCGCAACCTCCTCATTTGTCTGAATATTAGTACCTGAAAATAAAAACCCAAACAAAAAATATTAATAAATAAGTAAATTTGAAAGAATCAAAAATCAAAAACACCAAGAAGGTGAAGAAAATAACCTAGGTAGATCTCTCCGAACGATCCGCTACCGATCTTCCGGCCAAGTCGAAACCTTCCACCGACCCGCGGCTCCATTGCCATCCCCAAAACGCAAAACGATCACACAGAGAAACCCTAGCCCTAAATCAAAACCCTAAAAAATCCCTAAAAAGAAAGGAGGATTTGGGGGTCGGACGAGGCCTTGACCAAACCTTAGTCCTTGGAGAGGAGTTAGATGGATAAAAACAGCTTGCTTGAAAGAAAGTTGAGAAGTGGGTGGGGGCAGGGATGCGTAGGGGTACAAGTGGAAAGTCGGATGACTTTATCTCTCTACAAAGTCTAGGGTTAGAGTGAGAGAGAGAAAAGAAGACGACCATGAGAGAATACGTTATGACATTTTAAACTCTTCCATCCAACCGAAAAGTAGTTGGCTGCTAAAAAAATTGAACAGAAATTTCAACACAAAATTGTTTGTTGCTAATTTATAAAATTTTGTAGTTATTTTTAAAATCGCTTATATTATAAATCACTCTACAAATATCTAATTTCCAATAAATCAATTAAAACCAACGTCGTTCAACCATCAAATTGTATAAAAACAAATTGACAGAATTGGTAAAAGTATTACGAACCGTCTATGTATAATAGATTAACTAAATGGTCTTAGTTTTAATTCACTTTTTGCAAAGATGATATTTACAAAGTGGTTCATAATATGAATTGTTCTAATCATAAACGCAAAACTCTGTAATCCGAACATGAAGAGTTGTGAGTAGAAGTTCCTACTCATCATTGAGTAACCAAGCATTGTTTCATCCAATCATAGCAATACTTTTTTCCTACAGCCTTGATATGACGTGCTTCCCTTCTTTTCTTTTTCAGGCAATCAACTGCCAGACGACGTCGTCTTTGTTGCTTTGAGAAACTAATAGCCACTTTGAGTGAAGGAATATATACTTAGAATAGGCATAGGTTTGACAATTTCTTAAAAGACATGTTAATTCAACACGAAATATAACATATTTTTTGTCAACATGTTAACCGGTAGGTCGTTATTTGATCACCCGTTAAAAACCAATTAACGGATTGAGTCACTTCCCTAAAGATAACACCCAAAGGATCAACGTGAAGGAAGATGCCAGTCATCGAATGTCCTCACTGATGGGTCTAAGTCTCCAAAGACACCACAATGTCCCTGAATCGCATTGATAACAAGTTTGATTCACCCTCCATATAAATCTGAAGGGGGCCCTTTTGTTTTGCACACTTGAAGAGCTTCTCTCAAAGCCATAGCTTCCGTCACATGGATAGTAACTTCACCAAGGTTCAAAGCATCAATAATGATAGGCTGGCCCTTATCGTCTCTTATCACAAAACATGCTGCCACATTATTCCTTACCACGGATTCATCAAAGTAATCTTCACAAAAGGAGCTCAGGTGGTACCACTATATCACCTCATTAGGCTTGACAGTCTTCTTTCTTGACATCCTTAGCATTATTGATACGCTAAAGAAATCCACACCTACAGTAGCAAAGAGCAATAGAACGAGCAGGGCTAGGCTTCACAGTTCAGAGAATTAACTTGTTTCGGTCATTCCAAATTTGCCAACAGATTATAAAAGCTTTGATAAGAGGAGAGAGTTCAGTAGCTTCAGAGTTCGGCAGTGATTCTCAGTGGCAGAGCCAAGACTTTTCAATGAGGAGGGTGGACCTTAATAATCCTAAAAATTATAGAGGCAACACGTGGACTTTTGCTCAAGAAAAACAAGATTACTCTTAATAAATAGGCAGGTTCCTCAAATATTCCCATGTGCAATTCACACCCATGAAGGTCCTAACAGCTGAATACGACTGCCCACAGCTCATTTGCTCTTGGCAAGGAAAAGTCAGAACATTAAAGATAATGATTAATTACCCAAATCCTATATTTAATACATTCCCAATTGAAGATTAACCCCATTCAAGTAAGTAATCCTTATTTAATTCAATTAAGGATAATTACTTCATTATCTCAAGATATTATTTCCTTTTAATATCTTGACAATATTTCTCCATAAACCTTGGCCAATAGGATGTTGCCATGTGTAAGGTAAAACCCTAACACTTACAAACCCAAATCCTGGCTTTCATATACTTTTTGTGTGAAAAAAATGGTTACGTGGAAGCTCATCGAAGATATTACATTGTGTGCATGCTGGGTTCATACTACTCATGACCCAATTACGGGTAATGAGATAAAATTGCGAGAAATGTGGAGTAGAATTACGGAAGCGTTTTGCGCTATACATGGAAAAGACGCCATAAGTAGTCAAGGTCTTCAAGGGGGAAAAAACTCAACACATCCTTTACTTGTTGGAAAAATGCTATCTCGATTGCTTCCAGTAATTTGCGTAGTGGGACAAGTTTAGTGGATCAAGTGACAATATAATTTATTTACATGTATTCCACCCACATCAATATTTTAATTTATTTATTTGTGTTACACCCACATTATAATATTGTATTATCCCACATTTTGTAGACATTACAAGCACAAGCATTGTACAATTCAAAGAACCACAACAAATCATTCAACAAATGAGAATGTTGGGAAATTGTCAAAAATTGTCCCAGATATAGAATTGTGCCAACAAGTCCAAAAGTTGTCATGCACGAAGTCCCTCTACACAATTCGCCAGAACAAGACAAGGCCGCATGGGAAAAGAAGTGCCGGAAGGGACACCCAAAGAAGTGCCGAAGACCTAGGCAACTCGTCGGTCCTTAAGGCCTTAAGGTAAAAAGGCGGCAAAGAAAAAAATGAGTTCTTCCAAAAATGACCACACAAAATATATGGATGAACTTGCTCGCCAAGGTGAACTGAACGAGGCACAAGAAGCGGCTAGAAATGAGGAAAAGGCTACGATTGTGAAATCCCGTTCTTGAATTTCATTGTTGTATTATACGTATTGATATTATTGAGATTTTATATTTTTCGAAAAATTAATTATTTAAAATCTGTAAACCATTCGAGGTCACAAATTATATTGTTGAATAGATATCGAGATCACGAATGCATAGGCGAAAACCATTTGTGAATCCGGATTATAATAGTATAATTACGGACGTTTCAAGTTGTGTTGTTAAAAAAAAAATGAAAGGAGAAGAAAAAGTCACGGCAATGGCTAAAAGAAAAGACGGAAAGAAAAAAAGCCACGGGGGTGGCATGAGAAAAGAAAAAGGGGAAGAAGGGAAAAAGAAAAAGGAAGGAAAGCTTCATTCCCATCGGTCCTAGCACCCGCATACCCAACCCAACAAATTCCAGCAAATTTCGCCATTTCTTCCGTCAAATCATCACCATACAACACCTGCAACCTTTTCCTCAACCCTCCATCTTCCATCTTCGCCCAAATTCGTGGGTTTTTAAGTCAAAATCACCAAGAACAATGCATGAGCATTGGAGGCGTTCAAAGTCGATTTCACCCTTCAGGAAGGAGAATCGAAGCTCATCCATTCTAGGGTTTCGATGGGTATAAGCCAAATTGGAGCCTTTCCGGGCCAAATTGGATTTGGCTGCAGACATTTTCCAACTCGTCTATAAGTGAGGTCCAACTTTGTTGAAGTAGAACAAGCTACTTCCAATAGGGGGTTTGATTTAAATCTTTACTTCTTGGGTTTATGTTGTTTTGCAGTATTATTTGATCAATGATCAATGTTTCATATCAGATGCATCCCAAAATTTCTTGGTTATGACGTCTGACTTGATCAAAGAAAAATGTGTTATCTGCTTCTGAATGGGGTTTGGTTGTTCTTGGTTTATGTTTTCATCTCCCATACTTAGAGAGCTTTTGAAATGTCGACCATTATTTGGGCAATATTCTGTGCAGATGAATTTTAAATCTAGGTTGGATATGGAGTCTCACTTGTTCAAGGAGGAAGCATTGCTTTTAAGGGGGTTTTCCTTTATCTTTTAAATGTCTATTCTTAGATGTTGTATCTAATCTTGCGCCATGAGTTGAGCATTGTTTCTGTATGCAGACATTCTATCCTTCATCCGTATATGGAAAGCGGAGGAAGGAGAGCAATTTTGGATAGGGGGTTTGAGCGGTTCTTGCTTTTTGATATAATATTATCTTCTTTAATACCTGTCACTTGTCATGTTTGATTCGAAAGGAAGATGAAATAACCAAATGAGTTATACCTTGTTGAGTTTGGAACTTTTTGTAAAGGCTTTATTTTCCGGGCAATAGAGGGATTATTGTCACGTCCCGATCCCAACATACGTTGAAAATCGACACGTGACAAGGAAAATAATGTTCGTTGAATACGGTATTGTTGAGTTTAGATTGTTATTAGTTATCTTGCGGGCCAAGGATTAGTTACTTGCCCATTAAGTATGTTTTAGTCTAGGGTTTGTTTTAGAGTTTTAGTCTAGGTTTAGTCTTTCTCTATATAAAGGACTTTTTGTATTTGGTAATAGTAATCAATCAATAAAACAATGTTTTGCCGTAGGTTGTCTAGACCAGTCTCCCGCCGTCAGCCTAACTGATTCCTAAAATCGTTTGCCTACCACCCCGCACTGCTACACATGTATCCCGCACCGTTTTCGCATATGAATCCATCTCCACTGTCGTGAATACATACCTACATACCTACACTGTTTCTGCACTGCAACAGTTCACATTTTGCACCAGAGTTTCTGCACCGCACCAGAGTTTCTGACCGTCCCTTGCACCCTGCACGTTTTTGCATCAGAGTTTTGCACCGCTTGAATTCGTAGATGGCGCCCTGCTGCACTGTCATCAATCTGCAACAGTTCAAGATTATTATTGTTGCGGCATAACCATATCAGATTGTTATTCGCTGATTGCTATCAGGTATTTTTTCTTAGTGTTGTCATTGTATATATGGCATCTGCAAAGGATGATTCCCTACAAGCTATTGGTGTGAAATTAAACGGAAATAATTATGTGTATTGGGCGTATGTGATGAAGAATTTTTTGATTGGAAAAGGACTGTGGGGCTATGTTTCTGGAATGGTTTCCATTCCGAATAACCCCAAGGATGAAAAATATGTTGAATTGTTTGTTGCTTGGGAGATGAATAATTCAAAGATTATTACTTGGATTAATAATTCTATTGATTTGACTATTGCAATGCAACTCGCTAAGTTCTCAACATCTAAGGAAGTTTGGGATCACTTAGCAAAGTTGTATACCAAGGCCAATTTTGCTAAGAGGTATCAATTAGAAATGGAGATTCGTGCAATCCAGCAGAATGATAAGAGTATTCAAGATTTTTACAATGAAATGACCAATCTTTGGGATCAACTTGCATTGACTGAACCTAAAGAACTTGGCAGTGTAGAGCTCTA